GAAATTTCCGCTACTTTTTGGAAATTTTTTCCAATTTTGTTATGAATCAATGAAGAACGCAACTAATTGCGCGTCGACTTGTAGCCTGCTGGAGACATGAATATCGTGAGAGCATGCAGCAGAATATACTTAGTCTCGCAGATATTAAATTCTCAAATACGAGAAATTCAATTCAATCATATGTTGAGATTGAATTTCCCATTAAACTCTGAAAATAGTATCCGCCATTAATCAGCTATGCTCGACATCTTAAAAGCGATCGCAAGGGATTTCCATTCTCAGAGATGACGATTCGATTCCAAATCCAGACAGATGTGAAAATGATCATAAAATGAATTTCCATTTTTAAAGATGAAGATTGGATTCCGAAACCAGAGAGAATATTCCATTATTTAAACTTCGACAATGTTGTATTGGTGTCATGAAGAGCCTTGAACGTCACCAAGGATTGACAATGACTTGTTGCCCCACATTCGAGACACATTTCGTTGCTAATTTCATCACCTACAAAACGGCCTTCGACGCTTTCACTTGAAGACGCCCTTTCAAGATGAATCCGTAATTAAGAAAAGCGTCGAATATGATCACTAACTCTATTACTATAATATGATTACCCTGAATGGTGGATCACTTGACTCGTGAATCGATGAAGGATGCAAATAATTGTGCGTCAGCTCGTGACCTGCAGGAGACATGAACATCATCAAAATATAATGCGGGATGTAGTAACTCCCGTAGCTATTCGATTTTCAAATGGAAGCAATTTAATTCAATCACATCTTGAGATTGAATTTTCCATTCAACTCCGAATACAGTATCCGCTATTAATCAGATATGCTCCACGTCTTAACCCTCCTGTAGTCGCACGTCTTCGCCGAAGGTCGTTGGTCGCGTGGTAAGCGCTGCGCCGTCCGTACATTCTCGAGCGCAGCGTTGCCAGGGCCATACGACACTGTAAACATATCACCGGCCAGCGACCCCCGACTCCCCACTCGCTGCTTGGGACTACCACGGGTCGGCAACACCGCTCGTCAAATTTCCACTACGAGAGTGGTCGCACGGTGAGCGCTGCGTTCATTCTCGCTAACCGCGATCGACAAAAAAATTAATTGAGAAAAAAATTGTCAGCGCTGAGCAACCCTACCGTGGTTAATCTCATCAGGACATATCATTTGAGGAACTCGCAAATAGGCAGAGCGTAATTCATCACACTTCTAGAGATATCATAAAAATAAAAACGGCAGCGTTGAGACCATCGCGCGACCACCGAAGGGTTAAAAGCGATCGCAAGAGATTTTCATTCTCAGAGGTGACGCATCATGCACCTAATTGCACGTTAGCTCGTGACCTGCAGGAGGCATGAACATCATCAAAATATATAACCGAATATACCCAGTTCCACGACTATTGGATTTTCACGTGAAAGCACTTCACTTACATTCATTATGAAATATACACTTTGTATCGTCCAAACGATCGTAAACCAAATTTCCGTTTTCAGCCGCGCCAAATTCGTTCCAAAACTAGACTCCTCATGGAAACTTCAATGTTATTGTTGTTTTGATTCGAGAGAAATGCATCTGACATTTGAAAATGGAAATAAAGGTGAGGGGAAACCGAGGAAAATGACTCGAATTTATAATGCACGATGCATGATGAGGCTGGCAGATTCTGGGTTTAGCACATTGCAGTCGCAAATATTCAGCCAACGTGGCACACTTCAGACACTGTCAGCGTGTGCATTTCCCAGTGTACTTGAGAAATTAATAATCCATAACATGTGTCTCGAGAATATGTACCAAATACGGTATATTTTGCTGCATTTCGCGAAATTAAAATTCATGATCCAAATAAAATCCAAAAATTCAACTGGGTTGTGACCCATTACGAGTCGACCCAATGTTGATGTACTAATACTTATCAATTTTTGAATAATCCTTGAAATAGAAAGTGTGATGAAATTTTAACTTCCCTACCCGAGGGGAGGGAGTTATTGTAATGACCCTGAAAATCGATTGCGGAAATTTCATTTCTCCACGTTTCATGACCCCTAGAAACTCTCCCGACACTTTTTAGAGACCGGTCGGCGTGTGTGTGTGTATGTGTGTGACCAAAATTTTGTGCTACGATTTCTCTCGAACAAACGATGCAATTCAATGTTTTTTGATAAAGTCATTCATCATTTAAAGAAATATATATTGAATGAAATTACAAAATGGATTTGACGAATGACAAAATCCTCCCATTAAATTCCATCCCTCTAATTTCAATCCCAACCGTCAATATTCCACTTGTTGATATACATCAAATTATAACATCCATGATTAACTGTCAGACTCATCGTCCTGGTGTATCAGTCCATGGATTTATACATATACCCCAAACATTAGGGAGGACAACTATATCAGGGGAGGGACGCGGAGGGGAGGATGGGGGAGGGTTCTGGTTTATGCACGTACAACTGCACCCGAGTGGAGACACCGATGCTCCGACCTAATTACACTAATTACCTTCACCGTCCACGGGGCTTCAACCGGCTAGTGAAACGGCTAGAAATGTTCACGCTCGAGCCACACGCCCATTCGCCAACCGCCAATCAGCGTGCACTATAATTAACAGCTGCACAATGCGTCCGGAAAAAAATTGTCTGCATATTTATTCGTAGGGGATGGTTTTTGCCTGGTATTACCTGCGTAATTCAACTTGCGGGAGATATTGTGTTTTTTTCGCACAGGGGTTTCTGGGATCAATTCATTTTTTTAATTTATGATTTTGGTTAATTTAGCGATTAATGAAAAAATGGGAGAAACGACCCCCTATCAACCCTGGGAGGGGAAAGGGGAGGCAAGGGGGGGGGCTCTCTCATTTTTATTGATTAATTCATCGATAGATTAACAAGTTGATTAATTGACTGAATTTTCATCAATTTAATGGAAATGGTTTTACAGAAAATGTCCAATAGAAATTATTTTATAGAAAAAATCGGTAGAATTTCATCTTTCTTTACAACTTTTTCCACTCCGAAATTTTTCTAGAAATTCCTCGACATGATTTTCACAATTTTCTTCACTAGATTTATCTTTTTTGTCATTAAAAAATCCGTTAAAAACGATGAATAAATTAATTTCAACTTTCTCTAAAAAATTCTCAACCTGAATTTTCAAAATAAAAAACATGAAGTATTCAGGAAGACCCAACGACTTAGCCCGTGATCCACCATCACCTCTCCACCCCTAATGATCATTTTCTGTTAGGCTGATCGTAGAAATTGTGCAAGGCTACGGGACAAATTGATTTCAATTGCCTTTCCTACGTGCCATGCACCAACGAGAATTGACGAGGAACCTGGCAAATTGGATAATAGCCAGGAACGCCAACGCTGAATCTCAGGGATCCGACCCTTGCAAACCCTCACCCCTCCCCTCTCAACCCCTTTCCCCACCCCCTCCCGCCCCGCTATTCGAGGCGGTCATTGGGTGCAGCATCTCCAGACGCTGAAAATTGAATTATGGGTGACATTCACACTGTTCACAATTTTTTCCTCCACTCTCTTTTGCTTGAAAAATTCCCTTCAAACCTTTTCTTCCACCCACACTTTTTCGAATGGCGGGAGAGGGCAAAGGGGGGGGGGCACTGGAAACTTTAGTTTCCCAAGATCGTGAATATTTTCCGAGGCACTTGAGAATTCTCGACGAGTCCCTCGAGACGACACGAAAGAGACTTTCCGTAGAATAGTGAGAGAGATGGAAGGGCGAGGGGGAGGAGGTAGGGGAGGGGGAGGGGTGGATGCTACTCCCACTGGTGCACGAAAAGAAAGGGACCAAAGATTAATAGATGAAAAAAAAAGACTGGAATTTTCTACTCGCCTGTCTGGCGAATAATTCCGGACGATATTTATCTCCTAATAGAGTTTTGGAAGTGCCCACTATGCTTTTTTTTTAAGCTAATTTTGGGATTATCTTGAGGGCGAATGGATATGCGAGGATTTTTGCCAGATTTTTTTCACGAGTACTGGCGTCGGGGAGATAGAGGAGTATTAGGCGAAGTGATTTTTTCGAGTTTCTGTATCTGCATTTTTCCGTCGCCAGGGGAGAGCTTCTCGTCTCCCGTATTTTTTGTAATTGAGGAGCGGAAATTTGTGATATTTAAAAAACTATTTCGAGAAATGGGTGGGGGATTTTTGAAAAATCGATTTTTCGATGAGAAAAAATTCGAATCTCTAATTTTTTCTCATTCTTCCCCAAATTTTCTGAGTCAACTGCAATCCCAGGGCGATAATAAAATTAATAAAATTCTTATAATAAAATTATTAGTGTCAAATAAATTTGCATTAAATCCGAAAAAAGAATGCATTGAATTCAAATGTAGAAATTTTCTCAATATAGTTAAAATCTTCATTTATTATGAATGAAAAATTTATTTGGATCAATTGAAGATTTATAAATAATGAAAAAAAAACATTTATGTAATATAAACAGACCCTGAAATGAAGAAAAATTTCATTCTGAACAGGAACTTAATTTCGTACAACTTAAATAAACTCATTTATTTGATATTTAAAAAACTATTTCGAGAAAAATGGGTGGGGGATTTTTGAAAAGTCGATTTTTCGATGAGAAAAAATTCGAATCTCTAATTTTTTCTCATTCTCCCCCAAATTTTCTGAGTCAACTGCAATCCCAGGGCGATAATAAAATTAATAAAATTCTTGTAATAAAATTATTAGTGTCAAATAAATTTGCATTAAATCCGAAAAAAGAATGCATTGAATTCAAATGTAGAAATTTTCTCAATATAATTAAAATCTTCATTTATTATGAATGAAAAATTTATTTGGATCAACTGAAGATTTATAAATAATGAAAAAAAACGTTTATGTAATATAAACAGACCCTCAAATGAAAAAAAAAATTATTCTGAACGGAAACTTAATTTCGTACAACTTAAATAAACTCATTTATTTAATTAAAATAATTTAATAATTGTTATTGAACTCGCAGGTGTACCACACGGCGATTCCGACTCATCGGAGTCTGCAATTCCGAATACGGACACCATCCTGGTGCTCCCAAACAACAGATTCCCGATGCGTCCGATCTTCACCGATCTTTCATTGCTGGACGACGACAACGCTGACGACAACGCTGATGAGTCCCTGGGATTCTTCGGTCGCAATCCATTCTCAGTTAATCCCTTCAAGGGCTTTCTGACCGGCATGCAAAGTAAGTAAAACACTTGCGTGAAGGCCCCGCGCACACACGCACATGTCTCCCCACGTGCACATAATCCCCGGCCTCTCCCAACCTTATGTACTCTTCATGGAGGCCCTCCACACGCATGTACGGCAATGTTTGCCCGTGGAATCGACTTGCATACATGACTGCTAATGCGCGGAAATGCTAACAGTGGGTTACACGACTCTTGGATAGCAATTATTGTGTAAATGTATTTATGAGTATTAATGCGAGACATGTGGTGGCTGTTGCTGGTGATATTGTGGATTAAAAAATGGTAAATTGGGGGGAATATTATTTTTATTCATCCTCATGTTTGCTGATCTATTCAGAACTCGTTTGAAATTACATTGAATTATTTTTCCTGAAAAAAATTTTCCGGCGCAATTTTTTACAATTGATATTCATTTTATTTATTTCATTTTTTGGTTATCGAAAAAATTAACAAATCTATTTTTGCAATTTATAATTCGCGCATTCATCAGTCAGGGTAAATTAAGTCATCCCCGCGGCGGTTATAATTATGATCCCTCGTAGAGGAATAATCATTCATTTTTGGGTTGAAAAAAATCTCACAGCCAATGGAAATGTCTGAATTTTATAAATTTAAAAAAATATTTTTCAGTCATTGAAAAGTCTGAATCAAAATTGTGGATTAAAAAATGCTCTTTTTTTCATCCTCATGTTTACTAATTTATTCAGAATTCTTTTGAAATTACTTTGAATTATTTTTCCTGAAAAAATTTTTCCGGTGCAATGTTTTTCCAATTGATATTCATTTTATTTATTTTAGTTTTTAATTATCGAAAAAATGATCAAATCTATTTTTACAATTTATAATTCGCGCATTCATCAGCCAAGATAAATTAATTAATATTCGCGGTGATAATAATTACGATAGAATCTGACTCTCCAACTGGAATGATCAATATGCAGATAGATTTGACGACAGGAATCCCCGGAAAACACCCCTCGCAACCGAGTAATTCCAATGACTGAAAATTTCGCTCATGCAATAATTAATAAACTCGATACAACTCAAAATTGCAGTTTTCATAATCGAGTTTCTGTGAGCACTGGCAGCGGATAATTGGCAGAATAAATTGGCGAACATATTTCATTAATTTATCTTTTCATTGATCATTAATAATAAGCCACTTGGGGTTGATCACCCCAATTCCATCTCCTTCTGTTCTAAATACTTTATGCAGCGATCTAACTATCGTGAGACCTGAGGCAATTGTTCAGTATGAAATAAAATAACTCATAGAGTTCATAGACAGTTGACTACTAATTTTCCGAGCGGTGACAAAACAAATTCTTAAATTTCAATTTTCACTGAAAATTCTGTAAAACTCAAAAATTTTAAGCAGCATGAAGACGAAAATTCCTCAATTTATTTAAATTTCCAATCTAATATGAATATTCAGTGCCAAATTACATTAAATGTTCAATGAAATCTGAAATTTCATGATTTTTGTGTCCTAAAAATTCAAGAATATATTTCCCGAAATTTCCTCGTTTTCTCCTCATTTTCAGCGAAAAATGGAACTGAAATTTCCAGTTCTCATTGATTTTTCCACGAAACACTGAATTCTCAATGACCAAATTCCTTGAAATTCCAGTGATAATCAAATCCGATAAAAATTTCCACAAAGTCCACCGGAAATTTCAGCCAAAGCCCCCGAAACTGGACAACTCTTCTACTCGATGTTCGAGTTCATTTCCGACAACCAAAAAAATTAGTCTCGTAATGTCTCGCGGCATCACCACACGGATTGTAGACTTGGTAGAATCAAGTTATTGACTAAAAATTACTTGTCTCAAGTAAATATGCTTCCGGCCTTGCCATTTTTTCCCAGTCTCTGTAATTGCAAAACCCCCAATTAAAGCTTCCCCTAACGAGTCAACTAACCCCCTCCTCCCACCGCAGCCCCTCATTACCGCCCGGCGGCATAAATACCCGGAAAACAAAAAAATATTGACGGCCACGCTTAAAAACCCGTCAAGTACCGGGTTATCCGTGTTTTGGCAGTGCTCCAATTTCAAGTATATCCGATACGCGTGTCGACTGAGCGGAGACCACCGGAAGTAGTTGTACCACACATACCACTCCACCACTGAGTACCTCGCAAAAGCCTGAGGTACATACAATTACACGCCAGATACATGTGCTTTTGTAAGTGAACGTCCTGCTCGTACCCTGGCATCGGCACGTGATGGGGCACCGCACACTGTTGGATTCCAGGTTTGAGTCCATCTCCCCAGCCAGCCACATATCCACATTTCAAAAGCCTATGTGTGGTCATGCGTTTTCACACGTTACCTATACCACATTATTAACTATGTACATGGACTGAATGCATGTGCACATGAGCCTGCTGGATCAACCCTGTGTGGGGCCTCAGCAGTCTGCCCGCATCATTCGTTCATCTCTACCTGGGTGAATATATCACTTGTGTTTGTACATAAAACATAACGCGCGCTGTGCATGGGCGATGCATGTTGGTTCGGCTGATCGATAACACTCTGTCTCGGTAATTGTACTCTTTTTTTTCGGCGGGACTGGGTTAATGCCTGATGCACTTTTAGTGTTCGCTTGGGCGGGGGTCCGAGAAATTGGGTGTTGGGGGTGAAAGGACAGGAGATCAAAGGATTGGGGGGATATTGCGGGAGGGGTCTGATGGAACCTCTTTCGAGTCATTTTTAGATCGAAATTAACGATTGTTGGGAGGGAGAGGGCGGGACGGTGGAAATGCANTTGTTGGGAGGGAGAGGGCGGGACGGCGGAAATGCACTGCACGGAGAGAAATATTCAATTAAAATTACGTATCTTTTCCGTTATTCCGGAGCGAAATGCGTTTGTAGGAAATTTTATGGAACTGTCGCGGAATTTTTTCAGAGCGTTCCGTAATTTTTAGCTGAATCTCCTGTGAAAAATTACGATACCGTCACTTGAATTTTCTGAGTCGATTCCATAATCGGTGAGCGAATTGAGAGCTCCGTAATTTTTATTGAACGGTTCTCTCCGTGTATTACACTGTTGGGAAAAAATGAAATTGCAGAGACAGTTGACTACTAATTTTCAGGATAGCGACACTGAGTGCGATTTGGGGGAAAAAAATCGTGAAATTTCAGGGGGCAGTGAAGATTCAGTACNGTGGGGCCTCAGCAGTCTGCCCGCATCATTCGTTCATCTCTACCTGGGTGAATATATCACTTGTGTTTGTACATAAAACATAACGCGCACTGTGCATGGGCGATGCATGTTGGTTCGGCTGATCGATAACACTCTGTCTCGGTAATTGTACTCTTTTTTTTCGGCGGGACTGGGTTAATGCCTGATGCACTTTTAGTGTTCGCTTGGGCGGGGGTCCGAGAAATTGGGTGTTGGGGGTGAAAGGACAGGAGATCAAAGGATTGGGGGGATATTGCGGGAGGGGTCTGATGGAACCTCTTTCGAGTCATTTTTAGATCGAAATTAACGATTGTTGGGAGGGAGAGGGCGGGACGGCGGAAATGCACTGCACGGAGAGAAATATTCAATAAAAATTACGTATCTTTTCCGTTATTCCGGAGCGAAATGCGTTTGTAGGAAATTTTATGGAACTGTCGCGGAATTTTTTCAGAGCGTTCCGTAATTTTTAGCTGAATCTCCTGTGAAAAATTACGATACCGTCACTTGAATTTTCTGAGTCGATTCCATAATCGGTGAGCGAATTGAGAGCTCCGTAATTTTTATTGAACGGTTCTCTCCGTGTATTACACTGTTGGGAAAAAATGAAATTGCAGAGACAGTTGACTACTAATTTTCAGGATAGCGACACTGAGTGCGATTTGGGGGAAAAAAATCGTGAAATTTCAGGGGGCAGTGAAGATTCAGTACAATTCCAGAATTTTAAGCAGCATAAAGACGAGAATTCCTTAATTTATTTGAACTTTTAGTGAAATCTGAAATTTCATCATTTTTTCCCCTAAACCGCAGTTCGTGTCACTGTCCGGAAAATTCCAGAATATATTTACCGGAATTTTCAGGGAAAAATTAAACTGAAATTTACAGTTCGACGACATTCTTTGAAATTTCAGTGGTAATTAAATTCGATAAAAATTTCCAAAAAGTGTACCGGAAAATTCAAACAAAAATGTTTAAGTGTAGAAATTTTTTGAAATTTTATGGCAAATCTAGTAGTAATGCTCATGGAAGTAGCATTGCATCCGATCTAGAGGGCAAATGGTTATAAAATTTCAAGTTTTACTTAGAATTCAAGGAAATTCATAAGTTTTCAGTGGAAGTTTTCAGAGAGACAGAAATCTCACAGCTTGATTGAATTTTCAATGGAATATGAATATTCAGGAACAAAATTGTGTGAATTTTCAAGTTTTCCCTGAATTTTCCTGATTTTTCCAAATTTTCAGGGAATAATGGAACTGAAAAATCAAGTATTCTGTTGATTTTCTGATAATTAAATCTGAAAATCAATGGAACATTTGATTTTCAATCACGAGATTTCCGGAAGTTTCGGTGTAAATTAAACATGATAAAAATTTCCAGGATTTGTTGCGCGTAAAACAGTCAATTGTCCTTTCCTCGTACCCAGTAAGGGTCAATTATTATTGTAACATTGACATTGCATGACATTTACGCCAAGATGACATTTTAGTCCAGACAATTCGTTAATGCTTTCACACACTGGCCATTGATTTATTGATGAATACCACTGTTCAAACAGCTATTTGTGGGGTAATGTGATACACAACTTTATACATCATGTGTTTATTCCAACATCGGGACAAAAGGTCACCAGAGATCACCGCTCGCGCAAATATCTTGGCTCGGGGGCACGGCCTTTCTGTTCCGTGATACAGCCAACAAACAACGTCAACTCGTCCGTATTACTTGAATTATATTCCTCGGTGGGATTGATTCCTCGGGATATTTAGGAGTTATCGGGTCATGTCGGTGGAAAATCTATTGCACCCCCCGCGGG